TTCCTGTGAGTCGGTGCCACCGGGGCAGGTTTTGGCAATTCCTGGTAATTGGCTCGGTTGTCTGGTTCAACTGAATCCCCTTTGGGGGGGACCAGGATCCGTTTCTGTTTGTGCTTCATGCCTGTTGTGCAAATGTCTTTTGTGTAGCTCTCCCCCCACCCCACCAAACCCAAGTTAGCTGGCAGTACCTCATACATTTAGTAATGAAAGTTTCCTAGAACAACGGGTGCGAAGCTATTAAATTAGCTGAGCTGGTGATATAGCAACTGTGGCTGTCGTATGACATTCTACATTACGGATGACTTCCTCCAAATTGAGCTATTTGCTTCACCGTTCAGACTACCTCAGATGAGCTCTCTTTTTTTTTTTCCAGCCGATCCAGCACCTCTAATGAGGCAGTCGGAGGGAGTGCCTTGGAATTTTTTGCTTCTTGGATGTGTTGATGGGCGGTTGCTAAGGCCCCCCCCTCACCCCCATCCCTGAAAGCCGACAGGTTAATAGTGACGCTGAGGAGGCGTAGACAGACAAAGAGCCTATTTGGCCAAAGGCCGGCTCAGGAATCGAGACGGAAGTAGAAGAAGGAGGCTGGTTGAAAATAACACTTTCAGCCTGTGGGCCACGGCCCGCCACAGCATTTGATCCCATTCTAAAACGAATAATGCCAAATAAAGCCGGAAATCATTGAACCCATGAAGGCTCATAATATAAAATAGAGTGGATGTGTAACAAACCGGGCAATGACATGTGGGTACATCATCTGGAGACATGGTGAAGCAGCATGTGGTTGCCTCGTTCCAAGACAGAATACAGTACACAAGCTGCTGTCACACATGGACTGAACATGATGGGTCCTGCCTTCAGTGAGGACAATACAATCAAGAAACACATTTTCATCCATTTTATGCTAATTCGATCCTTTCCACCACCCACTCCGTCCGTTTGTAGCTACATTGTCATCATTATAGTATAATGAGTCCCAAGGTTCGTCTGCACCTCGATTCACAGTGGTGTTTTGATTTTTAAAAAAAATATTGTTGGGAGAACGCATAAATTGCAAAAATACATTTCCTCCATCCTTCATTGATGCTTGCTGAGTTCAAAAACAAATTCAAAAAAATAGTACAAACTACCTACAACAATCAGAGTTAAAATGATAAATTCTAAACATTAAATATAATGAATCAGAACTAGGTTGATAAATAGAGAAAGGTATTGAAATATCCATTATGAATACAAGAGAAAATTAACACAAGAGTGCCAGGGTGTGTATGTATAAATTCCCGATACAAACCAAAAGTATAAAAATATCACGGTTAAGGGTAAAGCATGAGCCTTAATGGAGACTTCTTTCTTCTTACTTTGTTTCTTTTCTGATTGATATAAAAATGATTCAATAGATATAAACATACAACACGGGGTAGGACTAGATAAGTTCTTTACTTCTTCCTACTCCCTTGAACATAATAACTGTGTTGAATGATGACTAATTTCTCTTTCCTCTTTACTATTTTATTTACCTTATTTTCTGTCAAATTATTACTGTATATGTTTTATGTTCAATAAACAAACAAACAAACAAACAAACAAACAAATAGGTTATAGTGGGGGATTGAATCAGTGTACAAATATAATCCAATTTAAGAAAATGTCTGAAGATTTGTAATATATATATATATA